CCCCAAAACCCCAAAACCCCAAAACCCCAGCATATAAAATGTAGACTGAACTTTACTGATTTATTTCAAATTCTCTTATTTCGTCTCTTCTTCCCCATACTTCTCTTCTCAATAATTCTGGGCGAACCCCTCTTTCATCTTGATCTAGATCAGGAATTCTTGGAATAACTTGGAACTCTACAAATCATTATCTTCGTCCCACAGTAAAAATGAAGAAGCCTTACCTTGTCTTCCAAGTCTAGGCTGTCCAAAGTCTCTCTATACGATCAAATAACTACTTTACAAGCTCTACTTCTTGCTCTAATGGTCTGTTTGACCTACGGTGTTTAATTTCTATGAATTTTCTCTATAATCACAGCTAAAACCCAAATCTAAACTGTTAAATAGAAGCTTACAGCTTGAAAGACAAGTATTATCCCCAAGTTCCAGCCCAAAAGAAGTAATGCCACCAGTGTGATTATCCCTATAGTTTATTCAAGTATATTACAATCATTCCAAGTTTGAAATACGTTTGAAAAGCCAAAGAGCACAATATAGGAGAAGAAGAAAATCTCATTGGAGATATAAACAACTTTATGAGAGCGGCAACCAAACTTTGTCCATCTAACTCCTTGGCAGATATATGCAACCTGGAGGATAGCAGTGATACAAAATAATATCCAAATGTTTGATTGGTTCCAAGAATCCGCCACCATCACCAAAAGGACCAAGATAAGTATTCTAGTCAGATTAATAGCATAATGTAGAGCTGCAACAAGAGAGTTGTTCAGATGTTTAAACAGTCGCCATAATGTTTCCAAGTAGAATCTATAAAATTTAGTTTTGAATTTGCAATCAAAATCTGGATCATGGCAATCAGCCATCTGATTTCTCTCTATATTTTTCCTTTTGTATTCCTGAAAACAAATGATTACCCCAAAGACATAGAATGTTGAACAAAGCAGAAAGACACCTGTGAAAATAAATGAAAATTCCTCTGTTAGAATCTGAATATTTATTAGTGATGATCTCTTCTATTTTCATTAAGGCAACACCTATAAATGATTCTATGGAAATTCTGAAGAATATTCTTCAAGACATTGTTGAGTAGAAATATTAAACACACGCCACCAAAAAGTCTCAAAATTGTATAAATAATACTTTGAGATTGCTCCAAAGTCTAGCGATATTGTATCTATTTGCTCGCCCAATTTCTTCATTCTTGGCTCTCAATTTTTGATTCAATAAGTGATTGTTTTCATATATTATGACTTTTAGTTAAAATTTATTAATAATTTAGATCTACATTCAGTTTTTAGTTGTGAATGGTACTCTATTAAACATGTGTTAAGCCTAATCTCTCAAGTTGATTGTTCTAATCCTTCAAAATGTTCAGTAAAATAAACGATTTTATGAATATATTCGTCGGATATTTTTATGAGAGATAGCAAAGCTTGCTACTACTTGTGCCATAAAACTTTAACTCTGAAGGAAGTTCATCTAAACTCCTATCACTTTTCTTGATATTTCAGGGAGATGTGGATTCTTAGATTTCGATAAAGATTTTGTTCTTTTTGGGATCTAGAAAATACCTTATTCTAAGTTCCATGTTATTAATAATTTAATCTTGAGAAATGCTAGATCCGAAACTGGATTAGGAAAATTATTTCACCTTATTTTGTGGTTTAAATTATATGCGATTTCAATGAAAACTGCTTTATGGGATTTAAAAGACTGATAGAAATGGTTAATTTTTTGGAATAAAAATTATATTGTAAAATTAATAATAATTTTTAATTTATCGATATAAATTTTTGAAATTTTCAGAGAATTATTAATTAATAACTTGACCAAAACTTATTGTGCTATATTGATAGAAGCTGCAACAAAGATAACTTTTCCCTCAGATTAAGAAAAATATAATTATTTATCAAAATCTGAGAAGAATGTTTAATTAAAACTTCAACCTGGTTTTAAAGCATCATTGCATTGCCTTAAAACTGATAGCTTTTTGTACTAAAGCATTGAAAACTATTTCACAAATATCACTATCATTTTAATAATTTCCGATACCTTGTTGACTTCTTTAAGGAGATTTTGCTAGTTCTTGATATTATTTCCATCACAATTATTCTGATACACAAAAACACATCACACGAGCATGAATGTGAATACAATATCTAAATAACATAAGCCCAAACAAAGGAATATCTACCAGTATGTTCTGGAACAACTTTGATATTGAAGCCTAAATCCTGCATATTCTCTATTTGTTACTCAGAGTTAATATCAGAATGGACATAACTCAGGAAGTAGATTTTCCATGAAGCAAAAGTTAAATAACCCCATGTTTTTACTTATCAGAACCATCCTAACTTTTGGATGAATGTAGTGATTGATTAAGACGAAGAACAGTAGTATCTTCTGTTAGTTAAGTGCCACACACTGAGTTTGGGTCTTGTCACCGCAGATTATTGTACCAAATATTGATTCATCGATGGTTGTTCCTGTTAATAGACAATAAAAAGGAAAGAAATATTAGTTTCTAAGTTCTAAAATCCTTCTTTTATCTTTAGTGTTGTTATGTATTCGTCTCTTAAAATTCTGAAGGTGAGACTATTCAGAAAGTTATGAAAGCAAGCATACAAAATTTACTGATATTTGAAGTAGCGTTTGAATCTTAGAGAGAATACTTGTATCTAGTTATCCTCAGGTTCTTTGGGTGTCTATCATAATAGAACTTATATCTCAATAAAATATGTTTCTATCGAGCGACAAAGGAAGATATTAATGGTAGAACTTTCTCCTTTTGACAACTCTATCTGGTAAGAGTTGGGTTCAGATTATTTTAACCTCTGAAGCAAATTTATAATCATAAATACGTCTCTATCGCCTTACCTCTTCTATTTTCCAAAACAATCAAATAACATTAAAAATATGTCCAAAACCACTACCTTAAAACCTTTACCACCAGTAAAAATCCTCACTTCAAAATACCTCCTTTCCTACTTTCCACAACCCCCAAATCCTAACACCTCCATCCTACCCTCAATCCCCTCCCACCCATTCCCTCCAACCCCCTCTTCCCCCAACCCCATCGCTTTCATCTGTTCCATAACCTTCCTCCACAACTGAGCCTCGAGAACTCCCCACTGGGATATGGATGGGCTAACGTAAGGGTGGAATAAAAAGTGACCCATAAGCTTCATCAAAGAAATATTCTGTAAGAAAAGAAGGTAAATATTCCGTGTTTATCATAAAAAAGTAGTCCTTTAAGAAAGATGTTATTAATTAATTACATATCCCTCATTATGTAGAGCTTTCTATGAAAAACACTTACCCTATACTTAAGAAAAGAGAGATCTCAACTTATATCTTCCTGATTATGATGAAGATGTATACTCAGAAAGATGGTTCTTTTATGGAATAGTTTCAACCATCTTTACAGAAAAACTTCGTAATATTTTTAACAAACAAAGAAGAAAAGGAGCATAAAAGAAAGCTCAGACTCAAGCAAACTTATCAAAATAACCCGGAATTATGCCTAAGATAACAGAACTACTGAAGTTTCTAAGTAAAAGGCATTTTATGCTAGTATTTAGCTAATCCAGGGAGAACTGTCTTCATGTTGAAGAACAAAGTAGCAAAAAGAACAAAGAAGAAATAGAAATTCCAACAGCTGATATAGCCCCAGTTCTTAAGAAGATGTTAAGAGCAAAGTCGTTAGCTGTCAAGGACCATTTTACAAAGAAATTCCTCCAACTCAGAAAAGATGCCGAAATGGAGCATGACTGGGTAGATGACCGTTAAAAAATGAAAATAAAGAGTAGAATAATTCTGGTTTCTAAGTAATAATTCAATAACAATGGTTCTCTTAAAACATAGCTCAATTCAGTTTTACGAGGCAAGACAGAATAGATCGAGGGGTGTTGGGTATTAAAATTAGAATCTCTGTTTCTTTAGTTAGCTTTTGTGACATTTTGTAAGAAATGACTTGATGTATTTTTCGCAAAGCTCTTCCTTTATTTTCTAAGTTCTCTGAAACTATGTTCCTCTACTTTTCCACAAATTTCATTCCTCTTCTCTTGCTCACCTTCAGCCGCTCTTTATCAAATTTTCAGTGCTAGGGAAGATAATAGATAAGCAACTACAAATATTTTAAGGTCGTATTCGTGATGGGTTTATGCTTAGAAGAAAGAGTAGACTGATTTAATCTTGTAAATCTCTTGAAAGGTAAAAAATATTTCAATGGAAAGAAAAGGAATCTGGCAGAAACAAGATGAGGCCATGAAGTAATTCAAGAATCGAAATTTTAGTAGACACAAAGCTTGGACACCTCATGAGCCCTAAAATTCTCTACGAGCAGCAGCAAGATGTACTACATCGAGTAGCTTCATTAAAAACCAAAAAATAACTATAAGGGTTCCCAAAAGCAACAGTCGTAACGTAATAATTATAGCATCCAATTATTATTAAATAAACAGGGGTTTTGGGGTTTTGGGGTTTTGGGG